CTGTTGAGTTCCATAGCGTTCTTTAACTGGAGCTCATACATTCTGTTTCTCCTCTGGTAGAAAACATATTCTGGGTCAACTCCTGTGTTCGCGTCATCTGCATAAAGTTGTTTATATCCCACTTCAGGGTTTGTATAAAACTCTTTCCATCTCATATTTGCATACCATGGTGGCAAACCTAACGCAGCGTCATTTGACATGGCAGTTTGCATTTGTACATCTGTTGGCACTTGACCATAGTTTGCCATTGCAGTTTGTATTCTAACTTCATTTGGAATATTCTCTGGGTTTGGTTGTCCAGGTTGCTGTGCATTCGCTAAGTTCTGTGCGTCCATTTAATATTAGATAAAAATATCTCTTACGAGTACATATGCTGAACATTTGCTGGTATTGGTTCATCTTCATATTCTCTATATCTTTCTGCCACGTCAAATAAATAAATGACACAATGGAAAAAACCTAAAACAAGTAGTCCTATTTCAAACCACATTTACTTACCAATAAAATTTCTTTGTTATGACACTTTCTCCAGTTTATAGGACCTCTCTCATATTCTATCTTATCGTATCTAAACTCATAGTCATGTATGTCCTCTAACCATCTCATGACACTTTCCAAACCACTTTTATCGGATGTAAAGTAAAAGCATGGATGGTTATGTAAAACGTCTAAAGTTTCTAAAGAGTCTCTCAAAGTCCAGTCTACTTGGTATTGAAAATCCCATGTGTTATAGAACGGCGGGTCCACTATAAAGAAAATATTTTCCTTGTCTTTATATTTTTCATACAACTCTGTCCAATAACATCTCACAAACTCTATACCCTCAATATATTTTTCTATGTCCTCTTTGAAAACATTTGTATAGTTAAGATATAAAACTTTTGACATAAGTGTTTCAATGTCATGAACTCTTATAGCACCACTATATAATAGTCTAGCAGATATACTATCCCAGTCTATATATTCTGCTTTTTTCAAAACCTCTCTGACAGTATTTTTCTTATCTAATGGTATACGTTCCATCTTACCTATAGGTATCTTTTCTTTTAACTCACTCAATATTTTGTTTGTGTCTGGTATATGTTTGAGACGGTCCATATAGTTGTCGAAGTCATTGCATATAATCTTTGAGTCAGGAAATACAGTATGGCACAAATGAGATATATAGAAACTTCCACCGAACAAATCTACAAATGTTAGACCATTCGGTAGTTTCTTAAGTTCTCTCAATAGAATATCTTTACATCTACTCTTATTTCCAAAGAAGGGTAACGGTGGTTTTGTAAAATTCATTTTATATATATAATAAAAATGTTTTTTCCTGAAAAGTGACAGATGTTTTATTGTGACTTCTTCGTAAAGACTTTGTTGAGATTTCTTCGTAAATGACCCAAAAATATATTTTAGGTGAAGAGGTGAGATTTCACCTCTTTTTTCACCTCTTTTTTCACCCTCTTGAATTTTCATGAATTTCTTCGTAAAGACTTTGTTAAGACTTCTTCATCTAATTTCTCATGAACTTTCTTGTCTATGTTTTGTTAAGACTTCTTCGTAAAGACTTTGTCAAGATTTCATCGTAAAGACTTTGTTGAGATTTCTTCGTAAATGACCCAAAAATATATTTTAGGTGAAGAGGTGAGATTTCACCTCTTTTTTCACCTCTTTTTTCACCCTCTTGAATTTTCATGAATTTCTTCGTAAAGACTTTGTTAAGACTTCTTCATCTAATTTCTCATGAACTTTCTTGTCTATGTTTTGTTAAGACTTCTTCGTAAAGACTTTGTCAAGATTTCATCGTAAAGACTTTGTTGAGATTTCTTCGTAAATGACCCAAAAATATATTTTAGGTGAAGAGGTGAGATTTCACCTCTTTTTTCACCTCTTTTTTCACCCTCTTGAATTTTCATGAATTTCTTCGTAAAGACTTTGTTAAGACTTCTTCATCTAATTTCTCATGAACTCTTTTGTCTATGTTTTGTTAAGACTTCTTCGTAAAGACTTTGTCAAGATTTCATCGTAAAGACTTTGTTGAGATTTCTTCGTAAATGACCCAAAAATATATTTTAGGTGAAGAGGTGAGATTTCACCTCTTTTTTCACCTCTTTTTTCACCCTCTTGAATTTTCATGAATTTCTTCGTAAAGACTTTGTTAAGACTTCTTCATCTAATTTCTCATGAACTTTCTTGTCTATGTTTTGTTGAGATTTCTTCGTAAAGACTTTGTCAAGATTTCATCGTAAAGACTTTGTTGAGATTTCTTCGTAAATGACCCAAAAATATATTTTAGGTGAAGAGGTGAGATTTCACCTCTTTTTTCACCTCTTTTTTCACCCTCTTGAATTTTCATGAATTTCTTCGTAAAGACTTTGTTAAGACTTCTTCATCTAATTTCTCATGAACTTTCTTGTCTATGTTTTGTTGAGATTTCTTCGTAAAGACTTTGTCAAGATTTCATCGTAAAGACTTTGTTGAGATTTCATCGTAAATGACCCTAGTAGTATATTTTTGGTGTAAATTTCATGAAAATTCAAGAGGGTGAAAAAAGAGGTGAAAAAACGGGTGAAATCTCACCTCTTCACCTAAAATATATTTTTGGTGTAAAATTCATGAATTTCTTCGTAAAGACTTTGTTAAGACTTCTTCATCTAATTTCTCATGAACTTTCTTGTCTATGTTTTGTTGAGATTTCTTCGTAAAGACTTTGTTGAGATTTCTTCGTAAAGACTTTGTCAAGATTTCATCGTAAAGACTTTGTTGAGATTTCTTCGTAAATGACCCTAGTAGTATATTTTTGGTGTAAATTTCATGAAAATTCAAGAGGTGAGAAAAGAGGTGAAAAAACAGGTGAAATCTCACCTCTTCACCTAAACATTATTTTTGGTGTAAAATTCTGAGTAAAATGACAGATGGAACACATACTTTTTCAGTAAGTACATATGGGGTAGAAAAGAGGGTAGAAAACGGGGTAGATATACCCTTCTACCCTAAAATATATTTTTGTCTGATTTACGCTCATTACGATGAAGTTTTGACAAAGTCTTTACGAAGAAATCTTGACAAAGTCTTTACGAAGAAATCTTGACAAAGTCTTTACGATGAAATCTTGACAAAGTCTTTACGAAGAAATCTTGACAAAGTCTTTACGATGAAGTTTTGACAAAGTCTTTACGATGAAGTTTTGACAAAGTCTTTACGATGAAATTCATGAAAATTCAAGAGGTGAAAAATTAGGTGAAAAAACAGGTGAAATCTCACCTCTTCACCTAAAATATATTTTTATTGAATTCTGTATAATATTCTGAGTAATATGACAGATGTTTATATAACACTTTCTCTGGTTTATAGGACCTCTCTCATATTCTATCTTGTCATATCAAAACTCATAGTCATGTTTGTCCTCTAAGACTTCATTTATACTAAACATCTTCGGGGCTAGAAGGCACGAAGTGCCTGGAAGCCCCACTACCTTTTTTTTTTTTTTTTTTTTTTTTTTTTTTTTTTTTTTTTTTAAACGCAAATAAACGCATAACTTGGATTATATTTTACATATTACAATTAACTAATTTTTCAATTTTTATATAAAACTTATAAAATTCATAGTTAGACCCCTATTATATATGATACTATATATATTATCCACATATATGGTTGTGAGCTTAAAATAAATCTTATTTGTCATATTTGCAAATCATATTATCGTTATATTTTTCATCTAAAGAGGAAATATGGCTATTTTTAGTTATGAATGCATCTTTTTGTCCTTTAAAATATGCATGGTATAGCTAACTAATCTCAATTCTGTTTTGCAACAGATTTAATTAAATTTTATTCAGTTTTATATTTTTGATTGAAATATCGCAATTTAAGAATAACCCCGTATAAAAAATCGAATATCATTGAATTATGAAATAAAAAAAGGAAATTTAATTTAAGACCTTCAAAAAGTCATTTAATTGTGAAATCTTAGCCTTTAAAGGCACATACATCGATGAGCAATACTATTATTTTGAATTACATCCAAAATTACTATCGCCGTTTATAATCGTAGAAAAAACGAAAAAAAATTCGAAAAAAATGAGTGGGTTACAAAAGTGTGCTTTGTAAAGTTTGTAAAGTGCCAGATTTTAGGATTTTTGACATTGTAAAGTCGGCTTTAGTGAGGGTTATTTCACCAAAACATATTCACAAAATTACTGATAAATAAGATGTAATATAGACTTAATCCAGCTCTGGAAGATATTTTGAACTCTACATTAGAATAGTAGAGTTCAAAATATTTAACAGAGCTGGATTGAGTCTATATTAAATTTATTAAAGCCTGTTCCCAAAAGAACAGGCTTTAATAAATATGATTGAGGATTTCCAGAGCTCCATTTCTTGATGAATAGGAGCTCTGGAGCTCCTTGAGTTGACAAGGATTCGGCTGATCTTAAATCAGCAGAGGCCCAAATGGTAAAGGGCCTCTGCTGATACAGATTCAGGAGCTCCGGAGCTCCCTTTCGTAGGGATTAGGAGCTCTCGAGCTCCTGGAAAGGCAGAATGGTTCGAATGAAACATTAAATTTTTTTCGAGCCAAGTCCCCTGCAATAAGATACAATGTCAAAAAAATCACTTTACAAAATGGTGGCAAATTGGCCGCACAATTTTGTTACCCTCCCTCGAAAAAATAATAAAATTTCAAAAATCGATGAATTTATAAGATTTTTATTCAAAAGCGAATCATAAATACTCCTTATAATATAGAGGAATATAATACTATCTTGTTTCCGAAAGATATCTACTAGATATTGAGAAAAAGTACTTTACAGATTGAGACTGTCAAAAAAATTCTGAAGTTTACTTACAGACTACAGTGCAGCCTTAAACTTTATGACATTCTCACAATCTTTTCATAGTTATAGTAACATCTGTGACTACACAATTTCCGTATTTTTGGGACGATAAGGGGAAAAAAAATCATCAAGTTCGTTTGTAATTTTTTTTGAAAGTAAATCAAAAAAATGTGGGAAGATGAAGATAATTCTCCCCCACCTCCTCAAATTCAGAAAAGCAGAAGAGGTCAATCTCAAAATCCGAGGTTTAAAAGATCCAGAAATCTTCAAAAAGCTGAAAATAAATTCCCTGAAAACGATGTTAAGCGTACAAATGAAATATATGATGACCCTCAATATCTAGTAGAACAAAAAGCTCAAGTTCTTGCTGAAATTTATCAAATTGAACAAGAAATCGAGCCATTACAAAAGAAACTTGATCAATTACAACAATCACATCGAGAAAAGATAGCAGACAGTGTTAAATTCCGTCGTCGTTTTGAAAACGATTCTAAAGCTATTGATGCAGAAGAAAACAGATTTCACAAATCTGAAGAACTTTCTGAGCTTCAAAGTCAATTTAAAGAAATAGATAATCAGTACACATTCTTAGCATCATATTTCACACCGGAAAATGATAAGAAATTCAAGGCTGAGCTTGTTATGCAACGACAAGTTTTTGGATTGCTTAAAAAAGAAATCAATGATGCAAATATCAAGCTAAATAACATATACAAGCAGATAACAGACCCTCGCCTTACCGAAAATGTTGAAAAAGCCATGAAAATGACCGAAGAACAGAAAAATTTGGAGAAAAAACTCAAAAAATTACAGAAGAAACAAAAGGAAATACTCGATGAGCGCAAGAAGCAAAAGAAGCCAAAGAAATCTATCGAAGATCTTCAAAAAGAACTTGCAAGAGAGGAACAAAGACTAAATACAGCTGTAATCTCAAGAAAAAGGTTACAAGCGGAACTTGATTATTATAAACCTAAGCCTGTACAGACTATTAATCAAAATGAACCATATACAACCGAAGCAACCAAAGCAATTCCAGAAAATAATTCCGATTTCGATGAAGAAGAGGTTATTGCAGAGAAGGAATTCGATAACATTGAAGAAGAGGATGATTTTGAATCAGAAACAAATAAGAAAGAAAAATCCAAAGAATCTGAAAAAGAATTTGACTCAGATAGTGAAAAATCAGATCATAAATCAGAAGGAAAGGATGATTTTTCATCAGATTCGAGCAAAGATGAAAAGAAGAATGATTCTGATGGTGAATTTGATTCTGATAAAAAAGAATCTAAAAAGAGTAAGTCAGATGATGAACATTTATCATCCTCAAGTCATAGATCCGATAAATCTGTTTCTAAATCCCAAGAAAATGAATCTGAGAAAAATAATACCGAAAAAGACGAATTCTCTTCTGATTCAAGTAAAGAAGATAAAGATGAAGCAAAGAATACTTCATCTGAATTTGATTCCGATCAAAAAGAAAAGAATGATTCATTTGATTCGTCAAACGAAGGAAAACAAGACAATCACAATGAAGAATTTTCATCAAACGAAGTTAAGAAAGAAGAAATTCATGATAAAACTGAAGAATCTTTTGAGAATTTTTCAAGTCATGAGAATAAAGAAGATTCTGATCATAATAGCAATAAATATGCTGAAAATGATGATTTCGAATCAGATCCTCCAGATACAAAGCCAAAAGAATCAAAACAAGAAGAAGATAACCAAAAAAATGAAAATTTTGAGAAGGATGAATCAAAAAATAGCCTATCATTTAAGCAAAACATTGAAGGACTTCTTGATGATCTCAACCCTGACAACGATTCATTTGATTCCGAAAATTGAAAGAAATATTTCATTGTAACTTTTTATTTGTAAAGAAATTGTTTGAAATTATGTTCAATTAGAATTTTTAAATCTTTTGTTTAAATCTGATTTCATGTATTTAGGAAATACAGTGAACTTAAATAAAATATCGAGTTGAAAGAAGCATTAGTATGTTACTGCTTGTCAATACTCTAAGGATTAGTCAATAAACATGTTCTGTTATTCTCGAGCACTGTAAGTGATGTTGTTTTTAAACAGATATAAGTTATCCAGGTGTGACCCAATCCACAATGCATATTTATGTGTAAAATATATCCTTTTTCTGTCTACACTGTCTTGCCTCTTAATTTCATCGATCCACTTGTTTGGCTAGAATGTGAACTTATAGATAATATCACAAGAATCTATTGATGTTGCTAATTTAATTTTTTCAATTTTAAAAACGAAAAATAATGAATAAGTTATACAGGGAAAAATAATTTTTATAAGTCACATAGTTTTATTATTATCTTATATTTATAGATTTGACGATGGGATGATTTGAATTAATTTTTTTTTATCGATAGATTTTTTTTTCTTCAGGAGTTTATGATTAGTAAAGAGGAATTTGCACTCCTGCAGCAGAAATTTAAAGAGCAAAACCTTGAAAAGGATCGATTATCAAAGCAAGTGATGGAACTAACTGCTCAAAATCAAGCAATTCCACAATTACGTCAAAGAGCAGCAGAACTTCAAGTAGAAAACGAAAAAGATGATACCAAACAGATGGAAGAACTCGGTGTAGCAACTGCTGAATTGAAAGCGTTGCGTCAAAAAATATCTAATGTCAAGAATTCACAAGATTCCAAGAAGAATGTTAAATTAGAACAACAACTTGATACATTATTTGACCAGGATTTCTTCGTAAATGACCCAAAAATATATTTAGGTGAAGAGGTGAGATTTCACCTCTTTTTTCACCTCTTTTTTCACCCTCTTGAATTTTCATGAATTTCTTCGTAAAGACTTTGTTAAGACTTCTTCATCTAATTTCTCATGAACTTTCTTGTCTATGTTTGTTAAGACTTCTTCGTAAAGACTTTGTCAAGATTTCATCGTAAAGACTTTGTTGAGATTTCTTTAAATGACCCAAAAATATATTTTAGGTGAAGAGGTGAGATTTCACCTCTTTTTTCACCTCTTTTTTCACCCTCTTGAATTTTCATGAATTTCTTCGTAAAGACTTTGTTAAGACTTCTTCATCTAATTTCTCATGAACTTTCTTGTCTATGTTTTGTTAAGACTTCTTCGTAAAGACTTTGTCAAGATTTCATCGTAAAGACTTTTGTTGAGATTTCTTCGTAAATGACCCAAAAAATAATTTAGGTGAAGAGGTGAGATTTCACCTCTTTTTTCACCTCTTTTTTCACCCTCTTGAATTTTCATGAATTTCTTCGTAAAGACTTTGTTAAGACTTCTTCATCTAATTTCTCATGAACTTTCTTGTCTATGTTTTGTTAAGACTTCTTCGTAAAGACTTTGTCAAGATTTCATCGTAAAGACTTTGTTGAGATTTCTTCGTAAATGACCCAAAAATATATTTTAGGTGAAGAGGTGAGATTTCACCTCTTTTTTCACCTCTTTTTTCACCTCTTGAATTTTCATGAATTTCTTCGTAAAGACTTTGTTAAGACTTCTTCATCTAATTTCTCACTGAACTTTCTTGTCTATGTTTGTGTTGAGATTCTTCGTAAAGACTTTGTCAAGATTTCATCGTAAAGCTATAGACTTTTTGAGATTTCTTCGTAAATGACCCAAAAATATATTTAGGTGAAGAGGTGAGATTTCACCTCTTTTTTCACCTCTTTTTCACCTTTGAATTTTCATGAATTTCTTCGTAAAGACTTTGTTAAGACTTCTTCATCTAATTCTCATGAACTTTCTTGTCTATGTTTTGTTGAGATTTCTTCTCGTAAAGACTTTGTCAAGATTTCATCGTAAAGACTTTGTTGAGATTTCATCGTAAATGACCCTAGTAGTATATTTTTGGTGTAAATTTCATGAAAATTCAAGAGGGTGAAAAAAGAGGTGAAAAAACGGGTGAAATCTCACCTCTTCACCTAAAATATATTTTTGGTGTAAAATTCATGAATTTCTTCGTAAAGACTTTGTTAAGACTTCTTCATCTAATTTCTCATGAACTTCTTGTCTATGTTTGTTGAGATTTCTTCGTATGAAAGACTTTGTGAGATTTCTTCGTAAAGACTTTGTCAAGATTTATCGTAAGATTTGTTGAGATTTCTTCGTAAATGACCCTAGTAGTATATTTTTGGTGTAAATTTCATGAAAATTCAAGAGGTGAGAAAAGAGGTGAAAAAACAGGTGAAATCTCACCTCTTCACCTAAACATTATTTTTGGTGTAAAATTCTGAGTAAAATGACAGATGGAACACATACTTTTTCAGTAAGTACATATGGGGTAGAAAAGAGGGTAGAAAACGGGGTAGAATATACCCTTCTACCCTAAAATATATTTTTGTCTGATTTACGCTCATTACGATGAAGTTTTGACAAAGTCTTTACGAAGAAATCTTGACAAAGTCTTTACGAAGAAATCTTGACAAAGTCTTTACGATGAAATCTTGACAAAGTCTTTACGAAGAAATCTTGACAAAGTCTTTACGATGAAGTTTTGACAAAGTCTTTACGATGAAGTTTTGACAAAGTCTTTACGATGAAATCATGAAATTCAAGAGGTGAAAAATTAGGTGAAAAAACAGGTGAAATCTCACCTCTTCACCTAAAATATATTTTTATTGAATTTCTGTATATTCTGAGTAATATGACAGATGTTTATATAACACTTTCTCTGGTTTATAGGACCTCTCTCATATTCTATCTTGTCATATCAAAACTCATAGTCATGTTTGTCCTCTAAGACTTCATTTATACTAAACATCTTCGGGGCTAGAAGGCACGAAGTGCCTGGAAGCCCCACTACCTTTTTTTTTTTTTTTTTTTTTTTTTTTTTTTTTTTTTTTTTTAAACGCAAATAAACGCATAACTTGGATTATATTTTACATATTACAATTAACTAATTTTTCAATTTTTATATAAAACTTATAAAATTCATAGTTAGACCCCTATTATATATGATACTATATATATTATCCACATATATGGTTGTGAGCTTAAAATAAATCTTATTTGTCATATTTGCAAATCATATTATCGTTATATTTTTCATCTAAAGAGGAAATATGGCTATTTTTAGTTATGAATGATTCTTTTTGTCCTTTAAATATGCATGGTATAGCTAACTAATCTCAATTCTGTTTTGCAACAGATTTAATTAAATTTTATTCAGTTTATATATTTGATTGAAATATCGCAATTTAAGAATAACCCCGTATAAAAATCGAATATCATTGAATTATGAATAAAAAAAGGAAATTTAATTTAAGACCTTCAAAAAGTCATTTAATTGTGAAATCTTAGCCTTTAAAGGACATACATCGATGAGCAATACTATTATTTTGAATTACATCCAAAATTACTATCGCCGTTTATAATCGTAGAAAAACGAAAAAAATTTCGAAAAAAAATGAGTGGGTTACAAAAGTGTGCTTTGTAAAGTTTGTAAAGTGCCAGATTTTAGGATTTTTGACATTGTAAAGTCGGCTTTAGTGAGGGTTATTTCACCAAAACATATTCACAAAATTACTGATAAATAAGATGTAATATAGACTTAATCCAGCTCTGGAAGATATTTTGAACTCTACATTAGAATAGTAGTTCAAAATATTTAACAGAGCTGGATTGAGTCTATATTAAATTTATTAAAGCCTGTTCCAAAAGAACAGGCTTTAATAAATATGATTGAGGATTTCCAGAGCTCCATTTCTTGATGAATAGGAGCTCTGGAGCTCCTTGAGTTGACAAGGATTCGGCTGATCTTAAATCAGCAGAGGCCCAAATGGTAAAGGGCTCTCTGATACAGATTCAGGAGCTCCGGAGCTCCCTTTCGTAGGGATTAGGAGCTCTCGAGCTCCTGGAAAGGCAGAATGGTTCGAATGAAACATTAAATTTTTTTCGAGCCAAGTCCCCTGCAATAAGATACAATGTCAAAAAAATCACTTTACAAAATGGTGGCAAATTGGCCGCACAATTTTGTTACCCTCCCTCGAAAAAATAATAAAATTTCAAAAATCGATGAATTTATAAGATTTTTATTCAAAAGCGAATCATAAATACTCCTTATATATAAGAGGAATATAATACTATCTTGTTTCCGAAAGATATCTACTAGATATTGAGAAAAAGTACTTTACAGATTGAGACTGTCAAAAAAATTCTGAAGTTTACTTACAGACTACAGTGCAGCCTTAAACTTTATGACATTCTCACAATCTTTTCATAGTTATAGTAACATCTGTGACTACACAATTTCCGTATTTTTGGGACGATAAGGGGAAAAAAAATCATCAAGTTCGTTTGTAATTTTTTTTGAAAGTAAATCAAAAAAATGTGGGAAGATGAAGATAATTCTCCCCCACCTCCTCAAATTCAGACCAGTCTATATATTCTGCTTTTTTCAAAACCTCTCTCACAATATTTTTGTTTTATCTAATGGTATACGTTCCATCTTACCTATAGGTATCTTTTCTTTTAACTTTTTCAATATATTGTTTGTGTCTGGTATATGTTTGAGACGGTCCATATAGTTGTCGAAGTCATTGCATATAATCTTTGAGTCTGGGAATATTGTATGGCACAAATGGGATATATAGAAACTTCCACCGAACAAATCTACAAATGTTAGACCATTCGGTAGTTTCTTAAGTTCTCTCAATAGAATATCTTTACATTTACTCTTATTTCCAAAGAACGGTAACGGTGGTTTTGTAAAATTCATTTATATATAATAATAAAAATGTTTTTTCCTGAAAAGTGACAGAAAAGTGACAAAACATGAAAACATATATAATTTGTGAAAAGCTCCTGGAAGACCCGTATATAAGAACTTCATTTATACTAAACATCTTCAGGGCTAGAAGGGGCGCAGCCCCTGGAAGCCCCACTACCTTTTTTTTTACATATTAGAAGATATACTTCATTATGGATGTATTCTACTGAAAAATGCTATTAAAAGTTATACACATCAAAATTTCTATGATCGATTATTTCAATTTTTTTTAGAGAAAGATCTAACTGACTCAAGCATCATATGATTCAACAACAAATACTCTTACTGTTAATGGCAATGGGACAATTGGTTCAGATGCATTTGTAGAGTATGAAAGCTCTACTGTTCACTTAATTATAGGAGAAGGAATTACTAAACTAGATGGAAATGCATTTTATAGATTCGCATCATTAAAAGATGTTTCTTTCCCAGATTCTTTGGTTTCTATTGGAAATGATGTTTTTTCCAAATCAAAAATTATTAATTTAACCCTCTCTTCAAATATTAAGGATTTAGCTATAGCAAACTCCTTCGATAGCATAAAATCTCTTGAAAATGTGTTTGTTGCTGAAGATAATCCTTATTATATTTCCATTGATTGTATATTATATACAAAAAATATGACTACTCTATACATAATTCCAAGAAACAAAAGTGTTTCTTATTATTCCGTTCCTTTTGGAGTTAGAAAAATATTAGCTGGTGCTATTCAAAATTCTTATATATCTACATTGGTGATTTCAGAAACTGTTAGAGATATTGGGGGATATTTTGGGCGTTTCTCTCAAATCCAGCATATTGTTATCAAGCAAACAACTGGCCACTTAAATATTGATAAAACTGATTATTTCTTCGATTCTAAGTTTACACCTATTTTTGAATATATGAGTGTGGCAATACCAACATGCGTTCATTGGGAAATTTCAAATTTCTTTTGTTATCTTTTTAA